TCAATCAAATGGAAGGCGTCGACGAATACTTGTTCGATGGCGATATGATCCTTACGGAGTACGAGAAGAGTAAAATGCTTTGATGCATCAGCGATCTAACTATGCCCTGTTTCCGGCTCGAGAGTCTGATTAGACATCCTTATGTCCTGAACGAAAACTGTTGAACACGGCATAAGCAATCTTTCGAAAGTTCCTGCGAACCTCGTCCCCCTCTGTCGTTGTCTTGAAAACATAATTCTTCCTATGCTTCTGAAAGGTGGTGAATGGACGCTCCCCATTTCTTGTAGGCAGCGGTAGGAGACTGAATTATCACTGCAGGCGCTTACCATTCCAGAATCACGGTCAGTAAATAAGTACCAGAACTGCCTAGGACACGGGCAAGCATCCTTTCAGAATGTTTAGTGGGTGGTCGATTTCAAATGCATTTCTTAGGGATGAAATTAGCACTCCGCGAATCGCTTGAAATTCCCACTGCCCGCATATTTGCACATTGTCCTTCCCTCTCTGGCGCCCAACCAAGTCCTTGGAGCATGGAAGTGGGATATCTAAGTTAGCGGTAAACGTACTAGGAGACAGTATGAATAATCTGAGCGGTTGTATTGCAGTTTCCAGGGTGATGATGTGATAGATGAAGAAATGATCAGAATGGAAACAGACATGCAGCGATCAACCGTTTCAACACTACTCTTGCCCTAAAAGATATAAAAAGATGTTTTCCAAAGTTCATTAGAGTGCGAAGCAGCCATCTCAATATTTTCCCGAGAATTTGTAACTACGCCTCCATATTCGGCTATACCATGTACGCGGAAAATTTGCTGGGTCCATGTTCCGAAAAGTTCAAAAGTTCCAACTGCAATCCGAATTTTGCGTCGTAAGTTTGCTTCGAATGTTTCACAAGAATGCTGGGTTGTGAACAAAACTTTCGCCCCAGGCGGGACTAGAACCCGCACCTCTCGCTTTCCGGGCAAGTGCGCTACCAGTTACGCTACCGGGGCACCATTTCATTCCAACTCAGCTTCAAAGTGCGTTTGAAAGCAATATAGGGCGCTATCGCAGTATAAGGGGGCATTATTATAGCGATGCATTCGAAACAACAAAAAACATGATTAAACGCCCTATGCGGGGGACAAGGGCCTCGAGTTTGCGTCGGCCATTTTTATTTTCCTTAGAGTTTCTGTATATTGTGATAGCACCCAAAATAGTCCCTGGCTTCCTCCTACTGCAAATTTCTAATTACTGTGAAGGGCATAAGCTGCTCCCCAATTCGGTACGTACCCGAACCTTATCCACCACGACTATTAGGTGCTTGACCTATGCAGAAAGCAATTTATGAGTGTCACGTTGAAGGAAACAACTAGCTTCGTACGAAAGAGCTATGGAGAACAGGACTCGGAGGAAGCGCCAAATGTCCAGTGACTCCGCTCGTTGGGAGAACAATACAGTTTTCTATTACTTCGACGCAAGCATAAGTCCGTTTTGGAAATTCTTTCCTATAGTGTGTTCCAAAAATTTTCCCCGCTTTCTTTTCAGAACCTTGGAGTCGAAAGTATGTCAGAACGGTGCTAAAATATCTCAGCGCTCGTACATGCATCGATTTTGTCGAGAGCACCAAAGCAGTCAATCGTATAATGGTTTTCGACGGAGCCGGTTGCTATTCATCTGTTGGCATGGACGGTGGTGTACAATCGTTGTCGTTAGCTTCTGACTGTATGGTCGTGAGTTTGTACATTCAAAATCCAACATACACTCGTTCTAAAAGTCGAGAAGCTCCCGCTAATGAGGCAAAAGTTCCTGCAAAAGAAAAATCAGTTTCGCTTTCTATTCGTAACTCGACTTACGCCTTTTAGTTCTTAAAGCCTTTATTTATCCATATTAATTATCCTACAAGAAACCAGTGCAAAGCAGTGCGCTCAATAGTTTCACACATAGTACAAGTGCTTAAAAAAGCTAAATCGGTATTTAAGAGTAAAACCTAGTAATTTGGTGAGGCGAGAACTACGAACGAACGACCATATAGGCCGACGCTCATACGTTTGCGAATCGAGGGATGGCTAGCGAATCGCTGGATCCGAGTGTGCTTAGCGAACGACGATGCACTCACGGGCCAACGATGTACCAGCGCCACAGTGTGGGACCGTCAACGTCAAACACGGAAGCTCAAGTATTAGCCGTTCTTGAAAAATCCCAAAAATACAGCATTCAAATTAAGTACTTAGAAAAACGTTTGGCGGAAAGCCCTCTCTGACACCACCAATACATCTCTAGCGTTTAGAGCATTTTGGCTTCAAAGATTCAGTATGATAGAAAGTTTGAAGGTGGGAACCGTGGCACACGAGTTCATGTACGCTCCTCGGTGCGCTGCATATGCACATGCGACACGACAGAGACAAATACGTCAAAATCAACTTGAAGCCTGTGCCGGTGAGGTCACAGTTTCTCGAACGTTCATTGCTTATCTTTCCAGAAACAAATCCTCAGGAAGTAGGAGTCACATATACGACCATACCTCCGTGAGGCACTTCTCACACAGTTGAATACTTCAGATCAGGAATTATTGCCGGCCAACACTCTCGAAGACCTCATTTGGTGTCACAGCTCAGAATTCCATCTGCTTTATCGAATCTCAGAACATTTTTAGTCAACCTCCCTGAAGTCCCCATTCGGAGAGAGCCACATACCCGAATGTCGCTTTTCTTCTTAAATCCGAAAGCTCGCTGAAACTGTCGTAGCCCGGCCTACGCGGATTTACGCATGAGAGGGTAGCCCATTGGAAATCAGCTTAAAGATTTCCACTGATGCACGAGAGGAAGAAACCGAGAAAAAGGGCCGATTCCGAGAAATGGCTCGCTACGACCGCTCCTATTTTTCCATTTCTATCTTTCTTCCTTCTTCTCTATTTACTCCATTCCCATAGATAGGTGTCTGCTACCCTCTCTACTCCGTTCGGATTAGCACTTCAGCAGTACAAAAATGAACAACTCATTTTCGTGCTTCGTATACTGAATGGTTTCTTTTCTGCGAGCGCGCCAATCATTAACATAAATCACTTTCGCTGTTTGTGTACTAAGAATCAATACCAGTGCTGTCGACACGTGGCCGCACTAGGAGAAAATTATTGTCCCAATCGCTATTTCGATGCAAATAATCATGTCTCAAGGAATTGAGCCAGAAATAGGTAGCATATCCCCAAGATGTGAGAGTTTAGAGTTTCTTCTTGAAGAAACAATGCGTAACCGTTTTATTTATTCGTCGCAATACTGCGCACTTGTATGACGTGTTGTTCAATAAAGAATTTCCAGACGAAAAAGCAAGAGAATTTCCTCAAGCCAATGCGATCAATCAACAACACGCCTTACGAATACGGGAGTGATATGCAATATCCAAGCGACGCGTTCGTAATTTCAACTTTCTCTACCAAATTCTGATTAGATATCCAATGGAAAAATGTATTGAATCTCGTCCCATTATATAATCATAATTCCTCGCAATGAGGATAATCTTCCGATCACGTTGGGTTTGGTTCGCAACCAAATTTTCATTTAGAATCAGATTTGAATATCATCTGCGCATATACAAACTCAACGAGTTATTAGATTTCATTTATTTGACTTAAAGGCAGCGATTACGATAAAGAGGGAGCGCATCGGGGAAGCATATGCACCACACGAAGCAGTTACTTGGCTGCCAAGGAAGCGAGGTGTGGCGCTTTCACGACGAAAGGTGCGCTGGTTGCTGAGCAGGACTTCGAAAGCACTCCGCCCCCAAAAGCGATCCGCCCACTAGTTTAGTTGGTGATTTGGACGAGCTGCGTTGCCAGCAGCGGCACAACTGGAGCAACTCGATTGGAGCGTGGTTTGGCATGGTGCCACCAAACGCGTTGCGTGAACTCGTTCATACGTCCGCTTTCTGAGCTGTTACCTGTTCATGAGTGAAAACCAACGGCCAAAAAAGGGTCCCGTTTTGCGTTTTCTTGACGGATTTCTCTGCTTTTTTGCCACTGGCGTACCATTGAGCACCACACGTCTCCTCTAAACCTTCTTGAACTTATCGTAATCGCTGCCCTTAAAATAAATAAGTAACGAGAGAAGAAATCTCACCTGGTCGTACTCGAAACTCATATTGGAACCTGAAAACTGCGCAATGACCGAAACGTCGAGACCTTCTTGGACACTGGACTTACCTGAAGCTTTACCCATATCTTTCCTTCGTTCGGAAGGCCGGCATCATTTCTTCGCAAAATGATGAATAAGCGCACACATCGCCATTGGACAAGAAAATCAAGGTAGCCATGTAAAAGAACGTGGAAGGAAAACGCCACCCATTGTCGTTGTTATCCAACAATTTCCGACCTAGAGGAGGATTTCAGAAAAAAAAATAAAGCGGGTGCTCACGAAGGAGAAGGGTGAGTATTGGAAAAATTATCTCCAATTTGAAGAAATGTGGCGCTTTAGCAACGGAAGGCGCTACTAAAAACGCAACAAGGAGGCCAAGATGCCTCAAAATGCCCCTCCGGCTCTCAGACACGCCCACCGCTGCTGGGATAGATGATAGCTGCCATGTTTCTGAGAAGCTGTCACTGCTATCGTTTCAGTCCCTTTCCAAGTGCTTTATTGCAGCGGCCATCAAGACAGCAACTGCCTACCGATCGCCGTTGTCATTATGCCATTCTTCACTTTCATCAACCCTAGTGGTTAGGATCAGCCGTCTACATCCTTAAAACGGAAGAGAAATGAGATTTGGGTTCCCGTTTCTTTGATTTCAGACTTTTCTGTTAGTTTCTTAACCGGCGCACAACGTGGCACCTCTGCTTTTACAAATTTCAACGGTAACTGACAAATTGACTGGAAAATTGGCGTTGATTTTATAATTGTTCATATATCCTGATATTTCTGACAAAAGTGAAAACCCTTATCTGTCCCGCTATGTATTTCAGCTCCATGTGCTGGTAGCGGAGCAAAATGCATCAATGGAGGGGCTCCGAACCCAAGGAACTGTTCCGTATGCATTTGCCCGTTTGGCTACGGCGGAATACTATGCGAAAAACGTGTAAGTCATTTATGAAAACCAAACTACTGAAATTTTTATAACTTATGTGAATTGCGTATTCTATCACTATTTCATTGCTAAAGTGGGAAGATTGTTGGTTTAGCAGCTAAACGAAGAGTATTTCAGCGGGCAGGATGCGGTCGTGTTTTCGAAGCGACCGCGACTTGGAGTTCCAGGACGATCACAGTCGGTGACGCTGCTACAAAAGGCATACGTGACACATACACAACTTGCAACGACTGGATTACGGTAGCTTTTCTTGTGAGAACTTTGCAGGATTGAGTAACAAAAGATACGCTCAGTGACGAGAAGATGATGATTCCCACACACATTGTATCCAATAGTAACTAATCTTCTGAATATCATTGGACATTGAAGCACACTTGGGCTAGATACGGTACCAGGTTAGCCGACCTTCGGGAACAGAAACAACACACAGCACCATTGAAATCTGACTGCAATCAGCTAACTAACTCGAGAAAAGCGGATTTTGGAGCAGTTTGTGGGTAGGCTGAGCGGGATTGCATATCGCCATAAGACACTGATCGGATACTATCCATTCGAATTACATATTATTTCCACCATCTACATTTTCGCACATACTAACCGCTACCGGATGGGAGAAGGGCTAAAAACCTTACAACGTCCTCAGAATTAGCTGTTAGAGTTTCCTTCTGTCTCGCTTCTGAGGATCGCTCAGTTGCGTATCTGCATTGAATTATTTTTAGGCGCCAGCAGATAAAAAAATCCAAGTTCGTGTGACAGCGCTCCGGAAGGTCCATTGTGAGAACGGGTGCTGGAGAAGTTCAATCGAGCCGAAGGTCATCGCTGATAAGGCCATGATAAGCCCGAGGTAAGGCTTCACATTGGAACCATTTTCCAATGGCAGTTTATCTCTAGGCCTGCGATAGCTCCGCTAGACTCATTGCACCGAGCGACAGGAGGGCCTCTCAGGGTAACTAGAACAGGTTTCAAACTACGCAGCAAAGCTTAATATGCTCTGTGTTTTGGATTTCTTTCTATTGGATGTTATAATAAGTATGAATAGTTTTAGATGTTTTGAACAAAAATAAGTTTATTTTCGCATGCCAGTTTTCATGAAACCTTTTGTACATATGATTCTTCAGATTCGTTATTAATCCCACTGAATCTAGCTGAATTTATTCTCCACTGAAAAGTTCAAGCACATTTCAGGATCTGTTGTCCTGGACAGTTGAATCAAGTGCTCACGAGCCGCATCAATCCAACACCGGTTGTCACATATAGCCTTCAACTTGCTTCCACATTCACATACCAGTACCGATATGTATAGATTTCTGTCGCTAATGAAAAATTATTCAAAACTGTTCTGTTATTGTATTAGAATTTGGGCCTTTCTAAATTGATTGCTCATTGCTAATGCACGCTTTGGTAGTTTTGGCAAAAAAATTGCAAAACAAGGCAGGAATTGGCAAATAATCAACGCAGCTTCTACAAACCAATTCGCAACGCTTTTCAGATTACACAGTTAGCTATGACACCAACCCAATAGATAGCTTCACTCTCAACTTTATACAATTTCCAAAGAAATTGTCAAAAGCCTCGTTGCCAAGAATCTCACGCGAATACCATAAGTATTACACTGAACACCTCTGCAAAGTGAAGAACTGAATATTTACAAAGGAAGAACTGAATATTTACAAAGCTCAATGAACAATACGAGGTAGAAACATGATCGAAAGAAATTTATGGAGTGTGCAGCGCATCAGTGGAGAGCTGGCTGGGCTGGATAGAATTGAGGTCTGGAAGTGGATATCCAAAAAGCTTGAAGTCGTAGTAGAATATGCGAACAAGCAGTTCCATGAGGTAAGGGCTGCTACGAAGGCGATGTTCCAAAATCTTTCTCGCCTCTGATGTAACGGTACTGTGAGCAGTCCGACCTGAGCGTAGGAGACTTCGTAATGTAGTCGATAGACGACTCCGAGACCTGCAAGAGGTTGGCGCTGAGGCGGGAAAGGATCCGGTAGACAGTTTTGGATTTGAAGCCTTCATCAATCAAACTGATGAAAACATAAAATCTGTGTAGGTAAACAGATCAGCTTTGTTACATAAAAAGGTAGCATTCTTTTCAGAGCGGTTGTTTTTCGTTCAAATTCGAGAAATCTGTGGAATATAATATGATCAGATTGGTTCCCCGGCAAGCTCCGGAACCTGCCTTTCCTGCGCAAGCTTTGCGTTCCTCCTCTCCCCTCCATTGCTCTCCAGCTGCCACTGCAGCACCTTGTGGAATGACCGGAAGTGTGCTAGTAGGTGTTTATATAGCCGTTGGGTGTTATCACAATCATGCCATTGCAAAACATTGATAGGCAAGCCCTGCGAGCTACCCAGATTTGTTAGCGGCCTGTTTATTCCATTAGCTGCCTTATCACTCACTTCATTTTGCGGACGGACAGACAGACAAAATACACACAAACAAACCGACACACCAACTTGTGGTTTATATAATGAAGAGATGATGTCATCCTGATGCCACCCTGATGCTATCCTGAGCTACAACTCTATACACGAAGTGTACCATTGTGACAGAGCGGGCAATAAGGCTGGCGGTGGTGTGCTTGCGCTCATATATAGGAATTTCTTGATCAATTAAAGATTTTTGCGGTTCCGACGCTGGCTCTCGGAAATGAAGTTTGAAGCTGCCAAAGTTCATCTTATACTTGTTCATCGCAGCCCTTCCTACACATCAATCGTATTCTCCGAATTTACTGATTTCTCAAAGGCATGAGTCGGATTGAATTAATGTGTTATTTTGTTCGAAAATAAGTCAAGGAGTACAATGAGGAACATTGGTGGAAAGAAAAAGCAAAAAAGGGTTGTAAAATACTGAAGTTTTCCTTGGGAGGTTTGCCGTGGTATGACAAAGAGACATGCTGAACAAAGGAGGGGAGAACGCGAGTGTACGGCGTACGTGGAAGGATAGCAGAGACCACGTATGCCGTGGTTGATGTAAGAGGAAATTTTCTTAAAAGGATAAAGGATAAAGCATTTGCCGTTGATCAATCCCTTTTGGGATGCGGCACGCATTCTACTTCCATTTGTACATTCGCAGTGGCATTTGAATGCGATGGCCTATACAATGACTTGCGGGGGCCAGCCGATGTGTACAAGTCAGTGTTTTTATCCTCCCAGACAAGTCTGGTACCAATTAACCGACCCCGGAGGGATGGAAGGCTTGGTTGGCCCGGGCGACTCACGACCCAGGATTTGATCCCCGGACCGCTCGCGTGGTAAGCGCGCCACTTGTCACTACACCACTTCCGCCAAGTTTCTGTCATAGAATACAGAACTCGAAGATGAATCGCGAGAAAATAAGTTACATGTTGGCAGACACACGTCCGCGTCTGTCCGTCATGGCCTGCAAGTGCGGGACGTTATGCGTCCTGCGCTGTCGCAAACCTTTTATGCACTAGGCTAATGTTTGAAATGAATGTGCCTGAGGAGAGTTGTTCAGAGAGTCCTTGTAGCGAGAGCCCCGAAGGTGATGAGGATGGTGGGTGGATATCGGACGTTGCCAACGATTAGCCGAAAGTTATGATGGGGAGGCATCCTGCCAAAGGACTAGTGGACAAGGGTTCGCGCCATACTGAACGTAACTAATTTCGTGGTTCCCAGCCTATAGCGTGTACTTGCTAAGGCTGGGCCTGCGATAAATTCATCAATAATGACAGGGTCGGCCTTCTAGAATGTTTGATGCATATAAAGTGATCCCTTTTCCACGACGTGCTACGCGTCATGAGAGAGGATTCTTCCGCACAGCCTGAAGCGAATCGAGGGATGAATACCACGATGCACCTTCAACAAAAGTCGGAAAACTGAAATTGCAGGAAGGTTATGCTGACTTTCATGAGGTCAGCGGCTGCCATAGCTCTCCGGTACTAACTGGTACTGTGACATTGGGAAAGCACACTTACGCGAGTACACACCAAAAATCCAACATAAATGCCTAGTATTTGCCAACCATGAAAAGACCGACACATCCCCAGCAGGTGTCCTGGACGCACAATGTACAACCAACACTGCATAAGTTGAAAAAGCAGGGCTATAGAATGATTGTGCGACTTGTTTCTCAGTAGACCATCGCATCAGGTCGACGGCTGCTATCTGTCCCCACGTAGACTTTTTCCGGAGACCTCGCTAAATCTTTGGGAAGAAATGCTAAAAACCCAAAATGATGCTGAAACGACCTCGTCGAGTTCACCGCCTCTTGAAATCCAACATTCTGAACAAGCAAACTGAGTAAGCATCACTCTTATTGGAGAATGTATTTAGATTCCAAAAGTTTAAATCGAACAATGTTTTCGTTAATGCTGAATACATTGCTTTTTGAATTTCAGGTCTTAAAACGACAGGCTTTTTGCAACACGAATAATTAGAATAGTATGGCCAAAGAGTCAGAAGAGCTCACCTTTCTCGATCTCATAACGCGGGTGAGATCTTTCAGCAGGTGCGAGCTTGGATCACTTGAATATCGAATAAATTCGTAGTCATGATAGTACTTTTCCAAATCGCAACGCCTTAATTTCTCTTCACCTTGAGTTTCCACTTCGAATATAAAAAATGCATTTTAAAAAAGCATAGTCGGGATTCTCCAGGGATTCTGCACTGAGTGAATTGAGCTCAATTTTGATAAGAATTTACCTGCATTTTCTCTCATTTTCTTGGAGTCCTGACACCAAATTTAGTCACTTTAGTACTTCTTAAGGAAAACAACTTTTTATTACCCGGTGTTGAGAGAAACTTCATGTCAATGAATGATGCACAATAAGGAATATGGTGTAGGGGGTTTGAATATGAACCTTTAGGTAGGTGCAAGAGTGATGCAGAAGTTGGGAAAAATCCAAAATAATGTAATAAACGAAATAAACAAGACAACGACATACGTTTAGCCATGACGTATCGCGGCCAAATAGGGTACTTTGACGGATGTCTGGTAAAAATCTATTCATTATTTCTACTGTTTTGTGATAAGCTGTGTATATTCTTGCAGACCTGGTCTTTGACGAGTATTGATAACCGTATTTCAATTTGGGCTCTGAAGCAGGCCCCGTCGCCAAAAAGATTACTGAAACGTTCCCCATAAGCCATGTTCAAATCTAGGAGACCGTAACCTCAATTTTTCCAATTCTTCGTGAGCGCTCATTCCTTAGCGCTTGGGAAACCAGTGATCAATGATCGTTTTCTCGTAAAGATTCTGCAAACAACGCACCAGTTCTGAGGGAATATATGATTATCCACTACTGTTGTGTTCGGCGTCATGAAGTCGTGGTGGTCAGTGGATGCTCGCTTAGTATACTTTGCAGTTCTGCAAAGGAATAAGATGTCTTGTGGTCTCAGTGATTTTAAACTACGCACAAATCGTAAAATTGATATGACTGTTTACAGACCTGAAATATGTTTGTTGCAGAAAACACGTCATATTGCTGCCACATCCATAGCAATCTTTACCAACTCTGTAACAATTTTTTCGCTCATTTTATTTCGTGAGGATAACATTCTAATCCTATATTTGATCTATCATCTAGTTTTGATAGAGGTGTTCTCAGTAGGGTCAACCGTGACGTCCGCACTCTTTCAAAAATTCCGCGCTCCCTCTCTCGTGGCTTCCCCCACAGCCCCACACTCTCCGGAGGCCCTATACGACCACCGTTTCCCACCCCTACTACCACCCTCACCATCATGGCTGTTTTTATAGTATCTGATTCTACGACCAGCCAACACAGCCCTGCTCCGCCCACTTTTTCCTCCAAACGCAAGTCAGGGGGGCCGATTACTTTTTCTCTATTCCACCTATCCTACCTCAACCCATACGCCAACTACACCCACTAAATCCCCAAAAAACCGATTTAAAGTCTCACCATTCACTCAACAAATCACTAATCCTACTACGGAGGCAGTGGTCAACCACGCGTGAGAGTCAACTGAAAGCACTCCTTCCGACGTAAGCAAACCAGCCCTTTTGGCACATCGGCTGGGACCGTATGCTGAATGTTGGGGAGGGGATGGGGTCCCCAACGGTCGACGGTTTACTTCAACTCGGTTGGTACGATAGGAGAGTACTGACGCAAGTGGTGCAGCTGGTCCAGTAGCTTCGCCAGAAGGACCGGTCTGCTCACCCTTGGACTAAGCCTAGGAGAGGGGACGGACCCGTCCTCTCTTCTTTAAGGCTTAGTTCTAAGGTAAGCGCCAAATTGTGGCGGTTCTAAGGACCGCGTTGAAGTTGTCCGTCCACCGTCGGGGACACCATCCCCTCCCCAACATTCAGCATACGGTCCCAGCCGATGTGCCAAAAGGGCTGGTTTGCTTACGTCCATACTTTCGCTCTTTAGGACTAAGCCTTTTGAAGGAAGGAAAGAAAGCAGAGACGCTGTAATAGTGTGCATATGCGAGAGTGCCCAGAGATCACTACAAAACGCTGAATCACCAAGACTTTCGGTTGACCGCTGCCCTTGGACGCTCTTCCGGATATGGACTGTACTTGGTGCCTGGGTGACCTCTGGATGACTTTGACGTCACAACTTGTATCTGCTAGCTCTTGATGAAAACATCTTCATAGGGATTACTTATGGTTCTAATCGTAAATATTGTGTCCGTTTTTTGACGGTAGCGTCACTCTGCACCTATAACCCTAACGCCTCTACAACGTATATTTTGTCAACAGTCGTCAACAGTCCTTCTAAGTTCACCTACTTTGGACCCATCCAACTGAAAAGATTTCGTTAGTTGGGGATAAGATGACAAGTGGAATGGAAAAAGAAGGACCGCACGAAAGCAAAAATGGAAGACTCACCGCAAACATCGATCGATAAACCCCGAGAGAAAGCGATCAGCTGGTTCACGGGTTACCATCGTGAGACTCCATTCTGAAGAATTTTCAACCTCGTAGGAATCGCAACATCGCGTCGACGCCATCGAAAAGGTTTTTATGTTCGCAGAATCTATAAGTGCTACTCGAAGAGTCAAACAGATTGATACTAGACATTTTTGAACGGTTTTTGTTCAACCGCTAGCCTTCTTAGCATCATGAACTATTGGAAATATAATGGATCATTCATAGTTGACGATCGTACGTGCGATTAGGCCATTTGGCGATTAGGGGTGTAGGGGATATGGTGGTGGACGTATCAATTTATTTGATGATTCAAAAAGAAAAGCATACGTATCGGTTAGGCGATTAGGCGATTAGGTGACTAGGCGACTAGGAGAGTTGGCGCGTGGGCGAGTTGTTGTTGACCTACGGCTGGTGTCTATCAGCTGCGCCTCTAGGAAGTTGAGTAAACGCTTGTCAGTCATCGTCTACTGCCGTCCAGCTCCGTGCCCATTTCGAACAAAATATCTCCAGTTGCGAGGAACAAGGCCAACGGGACACCATGGCCTAGTGAATGACATCCCTCCTGACTACAGCACAGATGCTAGCTGCAAGGACACAAACGGAGTGGCTTTACAGGAGCTCGAAAAATAAAATAGGTCAAGATGGGTTGATTCAGAGGGAAGTTTGAAGCCTACTGAAACCTCAGAAGATGCACTACTAATCAAATGCCAAAAGAACTGGAAATGCTTCCAATGTTCTCCTGAAGAACCTTGTTCAAAGTGTCGCAGAATTTTCTTGACAACCCAGTACTTGATCCGATAA